GATGCGAAGACTATTTCTGATGCCACACCAGGTCCAGCAAAAATATTATTCCATTGCAGTGTGGATAATTGTGCATAATTAATGTCTGTACGCCAATTTTCTTGAGGACTGCTTCAATATGAAACCTTTTATCAGAGTTTCTTTTGAGATTAAGAATTCCCAGAGAGTTATTCCTGTGCCTGCTTTGAACTCAACTGAACGCTGAAGGCTAAATATTTACACGTCAGCCCCTTGTTTGTTTAATGTAACAGCTCCTCTCCCACTGTGGGGTAAATGAAAGAAAAAAGTCTGGAGCAGCTGATGAGTCCCAGGCACATTCACGTGAGCCCGTAATAACCTCCTTTTCAGGACATGGAGCGGAGTGGTCTGTGCGAGCGTGCATGTGAGGCCAGGGAGTGTGCATGAGGCGCTCTGCTCAGTCTGCTGACTCTGCTGTCTCTACTCAAAAGAGGGGATCTGTGCATTTGGGGTCTGGCTCCGGTCCAGGAGATTAGGCAGAGCAGAGGTGCGGGCTGGGCCAGGCGGTGAGGGCATTCCACACAAAGCAGGACAAGAGCATCAGCTGAGAGGGGGCACAGGGTAACAGAGGAGTGATGCGTGAAAGCAGACACCAAAGGCTTGTTTAGAGGCTACTGCGAGTGTGCGAGTCTGCAGGGAGAGTCTTTGGGGGAAGAGCCCAAGGAGAATGAGAATGAAAGGCTTGGCAAATCAAACTAGAGCTGCACAATTAATGTAAGCAAAATTACTACTTGAATTATTGTCATTGCAAAGGCTGCAATTATTTAGATAATAGAATGTCCTATACCTATACAAAGATGTTATAAGGTTCGTGTATTAGCTTCAGTTATCAGTACTCTAAATAGAATCTTATTTTTAAACACATATTGCAAAACCTGTGAGAAAATTATTCTATTAGCTAGGGATGTAACAATAACCGAAATATCGTGATATTGTGGGCTGTCACAGTATATTAAATTACTAATTCCTTCACTTAAATGCACAGTTTTATAGTAGCAACAGATTATGAACATCAGAAACTACATATCCCATGATTCATTTCAGTGAAGAAATATATTTTTTACTTGAATTCTTGGGATTATGACGGAAATAATTCGCACCAAAATCTTGTCATGGTATTTTAAAAGCAAAAAAGTGTCCTATCTACAATTATATTAGCCTCACCAAAATATCGCAATAAATATCATACTGTGAGATGCATATTTTGATAATATCGTAATGAGAGATTTGGATATTGCTACATCCCTACTATTAGGACATAAAAATAATCAAATGTATAGATTTTCCAATTTGTACAGTCTTAAAAGGTGCATTGTGTAACTTTTCTGTTGGAGGATTTGTCAAATGGAGATGTTATTGCTTTGTCTGGAATGCTTCACAGTATGGCATTAAACTTTTCTATCCTCCTGGACACCAAACCAGACCAAGTTACAGGTCAGATCTATGGAGAGGCAACTCCACTCACAGTCCGAATTTTGAGCAAACTTTTTGAGCAATAAAACAACCTGTAATTAAATAAATGTAAGGTTTAATGTCATATCGTGGAACATTCTAAGCAGAGCAATGACGCATTCATAAAAACACAGTGGGCCTTCTTTTGGTCAGGTTCTTCAGCCCCCTTCTGCCTGTGTATATACCCTCCTCACTACATGGCAATACTGCACTTCCCACACTCTTTAATAATGTTTTTTTTTTTTTTTTATCTGGTTACAATGAGTCCCTCACAGCCATATAATCATATAATCCATGTTTAACAAAAATATGAGGTGAATATCCTTTCTATTTCTCCTGTAATGGCAAGATACCAAAATGCTGTTGTGTTATAAAAAGATGGAAAATAACCAAAGCATGCGAGCCAAAACAAAATCATAGTCAATATTTCACTTGTGAATGAACAAAACTGTAAAGCCGTGTGTACGCCGTGTTGTGTGTAATCCTCCATCTGTTTACATTGTAAGCCTAATTCCCTTAAACCGAGCATCTGTTTGACTGGAGTGTGGTCCATTCATACATACGTCATGCATGAAAAACAATCAGGAAAAGGAAGTTCTTAGTGAGTCGAGTGATCCTGGAGGTGTGTCATCTGCAGCCTCTGTCGGAAATGCTTTGGACACGGCATCCATGGACTGAGGCCAAGGAGAAGATGGATAGAGTTACAAAACTATTCACAAGAAATCTTTCATATTACTGGAAAGATCAAGTACCAGTTACTCACTCACTCCAGAGCCAAACTACTAAAGTTACTAAAGAGGGATTGAATTTGAAGTCATTCACATTTGAAATTAGTATTGGATCAAAGTTGTGAGCACTTCGAATAAAAGTAGCTTTAATCAAAAGAAATAAAAAAGGTCTTCAAGAAGGGTTAAGTACCTTGCCCAAAGACACAACAGTAGTATGCACTGGTGGGGTGTGTGATGCTCAACCAGTTGAGCCACTGCCACAGTAAAGACTGAATTGAACTAATAGAAATATGTAATTGAAAAATTACTATCTGAAAGTTGAAAAAAATCCAAGGTACAGCCATGCAAAAACAATGTATGGTGTCTTGCCTAAGGACACAATATTAACAATGAGACATCACAATATCCAGTTTGAGTATTATGATTATTATGAGGATTTTTTTTTGTCTTACAAATATAATTTGACCTACCTGAATAATAACAACTACCAATTCACCGCATAATCTTAACATTTCTACTCGAGGCAAAGATCAGACTACTTTGGTTTAAAGGGTAACTGACAAAATACAAACAAAACAAGTCTATGTCAAATCCTTCAGTTCTCACTCAAAAATGAACCCCTTAAGTGACTAATTCCACCGTTATATGCAACTATAATCTGTGTTACATCAGCAGTAACTGAACTGGCCACTGTTGCTGTCTGATAGTGAAAACAAGAACAACAGTACACACAACCACAGAGGTAAGACACACATCTCAAGTCCCAACCAACCATCTCATTTGTAACTATTAAAGCGCTTGGGCAAAGTTGTGTTAATGTAAAATGTATTAGGAGTCGTGGTGAAGGCTGGCATCTGTTGTGTGAATGAGAGCCTGGTGAAGCATGGCATTGAGCTCAGGATTCTGGTGCCACATTTGTCTCTTTTGGCAAAACGGGCAAATCAGAGCCTTGTGTGAGGGCTGAATTTTAACAAGAAAAAGAGGACTTCTGGCAAATACTAATGTCTGACTAAAGCAGCAAATACTTTCACTTTTAGATAAACGCAATACTTAATACTCAGTCTGTGTGATAAAAGAGAGTGAGAGTGCAGTTAATACACTTTCTCTTGTGGACCTGATGTTTTAGCTTCTTATGTGTTGTTTCTTCAGCTTACTATAACCTGCAGTACACACTGTAGCCCAAATAGGTCACTTCAGCAACCCTAAACTGTCTGAAAATATGATTTAATGTATCAGCATTAAATCATAACAGCAATATGATAATATCTGTACACATGTAGGAGTTTTGAATAATGATGTACTAATAATGTACTAATAATGTACTATCTGTGGGTAGGAAAACAAACAATTTAGACACAATGCAGTGCAAAGCTCTTTGAGATGAGCTGAGGTGCCATTTCTGAGCAAATGAGCAGCAGTCTGTAGTGTTAGAGACAGGCCGGTCTGAGGAAGACTGGCAGGGGTCACCTGTCGGTGAAGTACCTGTACAGGAGCTGTCCAGGAGCTGTGTGCTAGTGCGAGTGCTAGAGAGGTGTGAAAAAGCCAGGGGCCCCAGGGGGCCCATCTGTTGTGAGTGAATAAAGTGTGCTCAGAGGGGGGACTGCAGGCCTGCTCTAAACTCCAGGCAGCAGACAGCTCCATTAATCAGAGCAGGATGGGCCTGCTGGGCTCTGTGGCACTGACGAGGTGTCACTGCTATGTTTTTACAACTGTCCTCCAACAACACAAAGTCATACAAGACGTATGGAAAACCATTCACGATCCCACTAATAATAAGCAAACATTATTTTAACATGCAGGGCTCAAAGTCTTGGTTTCACACCTTTTCAAAATAATAACACATGGACAAAAGAAATTTAAGTTACATTACATGATATGGGCACTGTGTGTGCCAACAGAAGGTACTGATGCTCATGCACCAGCTTACATACACCCCAGTGTTTTTGAAAGTGCGTCCACATAGATTTTTATAATGTAGAGCTATTTTTAGTCTGAAGGCAGCCTTAGTCCCAGTTGGCAGTGTGTGTGCCACATCTCCAGCAGCTCAGACCCATCCCCAGAGAGAAGAGGGTGCCAGGGGTGACAGGGTGCAGCCAACGACAGGGACAGAGACACGGAGGAGCACTTTTATAGTATGATTCAGCAGAGTATCAGTGTCCACAGATGGCAGGCTGAGTCCTATTGACTTACATAGAAGGGGGTGAGAGATACTCCAAACTACCCCAGGGACATATTGAACAGGGGTGAGCTCACAGGGCTATTTATAAGTATTTAAAAATAAAGATGAGAAATGAGAAAATGCAAGCAAGGCATTAGTGAACACAAATTCTAGATCATTCTTGAAATGAAAGAGTTTTGAGTCACAACTCATGTCCAGTTAATATCTTTGTATAACCTTTAACAGGTTACTTGTTATGTTATCTGCCTTTTCTGAATGTTCTCACTTCATGGTGATTGGTGAAAAGCAGCGTGTCATTCAGAGCATGACGGAGGTTGACAAATAGGAGTGGGTGCGTCTATGTTTAAGTATAGAACTGCATTTAACAGAGGAGCACTCAATCACATGTTGTTTAAAATGTCAAAAGACATGGTCAATACATCTACAGTGAAATATCTTGGGGGCGGGGGTGTTAACCGATTCTGAAAACATACAAAAGCAGCAAGATCATCCTCAACTGTATATTTCACTACCACTAAAATGAGGCCTGGATATTTTCTCCCCTGTTTTACCAATGCCCATTACTGTCTGTTGCATCCTGGAGGTTACTATCCCTTTTACATTTGACTAGAGCAGTGCCTCACCTCATTAGTGGCACGGTGCATTCTTTCCTGCAGATAACTGGAGTGACAAACATGGCGGCGCGAGGACAGGACCAGGGCTGCAGAGGACGTCCCGGGACCCCCTCGCTGTCTTGACATTCACCGAGGGGCCTTCACACAGGCCTAAAATAACACACAATAAGAAGAGACGGACGGGAGGTGAGAAAGTGATTTGGCCTGCTCCCAGCATGTCACTGGAGACATTTGGTTCAAGACTGACGACTCCTCCGCAGCTACTGTAACTGCACTATACCACTAGTCAGTATTACTAAACAGAAAACTGCTGGCATCACAAATGTCAAAAAAGTCCCATTTCTTTCTAGAAGGACACTGATGCATAAGTAAGATTTATAGAAAGAGGCAGTAGCAAAAGTATTAGTAAATCCAATAATGGTGGATGCAGAAGTAGCAGTGGTAGTAGTAGTAGAAATAACTGTCATGGTAAGATTAAATATATCACATAAATCACAGTTTGTAGTCCTCTTGATGAAAATGCCTAAACTGATCACTGACGATTTGAGAAGAAATGGATTCAAACTGTACTTGTAACCTACAGTAAATAAAACGAGTGTTGAATTGTTTGGTCTTCTCTCTTCATTGCATGTTATAAAGTTCTACCCAGTGATCTGCAAGACTGACACTTGTATGGAGATGTCCTGGAGATCCACCACATTAACCTTTAGCTGAGCCTTTAAATCAAGCTAATGAATTCTGCAGACAGACAGCAGCTGACCTCTGACCCCCGATGAGCCAGGCCAATGACGAGACACTATTAATATTTCATTAACACCGTGGTAACGAGCAGTAAACGATGGCGCACTTGTCGCTGCCTAGTCATACATACTTGGACTGGTCATTTTGCAGCAGATTAAAGCCGACATTTAGGATTATAGCAATTGATGTGCATTTCAAAGTGGGTAGGAATTTTAGAAAGCAATTTTGTTAATTACTTTTCAGAAGGTTATGGTGCAAAAACTCGTTAGCGCAAATTGTTAAGATGCTCAGAAATAAGCTGTCCAACTTATACATTGTTATGTCCCTGGACTTTTTTTTGAAACTTGATTTGCCATTTATGATTTTGATTGATTTTTTGTGACTGCATGACAATTTTGTTGTTTATTTTAGTGGAAACAAACATATTCACTGTTTTGATTATTAAAATAGACATATTTCATATTAACTTTGCACAAATAGTGGTTTAACAAAGAAATATTGTCACTAAAATAAATGTTTTTGGTTCCTAAAATAAAAGCAATATATCGATTATCGCATGTATCGCCATATTGTGAGCCATGTATTATATATCGGATTGAATAATGAGGGATCCTGTGATTCCCAGCCCTATTCACAATGGTTTTAGGGTACATTTATACTTGTCCTGGTTTGAGCAGTTTCAATATAGACTTGATAAAGACTTGTTTGGTTCTATTGTAGCCCTGGTTAAATTCTGATTTAGTCCTGATCTAGTCCCAGTTTAGTTTTGGTAAAGTCTCAGTTTAGTACCAATTCTGAGTTGGTGAGTGAACAAGTATTGGCACAAACAAACTGTCAATCCAGTTATCTCTCTCAAAGAGACCATGATTGGTCAATGAGTCTCCAGGAAGATTTGTATCCTTACAAAAATGAATAATATTTGTCATCTTTTCGTACCAGGAAGCTAAATCGCCACTTAAACTTAACCCACATACAATTATACACTACCACCCATGTCAAAGCCACCACACAACAATGGCTATGGTGTTTCTGGCACAATAAAACTGCAGATTTCCATATCAACCAGATTTGAATAGCAAATAGATTCACCGGCCGAAAAGAGGTTCAGGCTTGTTGGACTTGCCGCACATGTCCGATTACTCAGTCTTTTTAACACGGCCCACATAAGCTTTACCTGTCAGTGCCGAGGGTAAACAACCGTCTATCCATCTCCGGGCCCCTCCTCGCCTGTCAGGTCAACAATGGACGCCAGAAAGCCACTTATTAAACGTGTGGGCAGGCAGTCTCTCAAGAGCACCACTCCAACAATGCCATGACAAATAAACACAGTTATGTAGGTCAGTCCAGCAGTTTGTTCTGAGGTAAGCTGACGGCTAAATCAAATGGACCCATCGGTCTGGCCTCTGACTCATCGCACCAACGGAGAGCCGAGGAAGAGGCATGAAGAACCACAACACTGCCCCAATGCTGCTCTTCATCAGGTGGAGGCTTGCCGGTTTTGTGCCTGGAAAACATGAAAACCATGTTATTTGGGTTTGTATTTTAAAGAATTCACAGAACTCTGGTTACATAGTAAACCTTGATGGCAGATTCATATACCATATATACCGACTATAAGGTGCACCGGATTATAAGGCGCAATATCAGTAATGTTGAATTCTCTCGTCTATTTTCATACATAAGGCACACCAGATGATAAAACGCATTAATTGAAACAAAGGGACGTCACTTGAGACTGATACCTTAGCGCAGGCATCCACGATCCATTGGCAGATCATAACTCGCCCGGCATTGCCTCCCTGTCTTGGAGAATGTGTATTATGAATGTGAAAGTGGGTGGATAAATGAGTAGTAATGTGCTTAATGCAGCTTTGCACACATTGGTTTACGTTTTACAGAAATGAAACTTAAAACTACATGGCTAATAAACACTGAAAAACAGCTTACTCCTTGTGCCACTGATGCGGTCAGCTTCTGTTGGACTAAAGAACACGACCCAGTGGAATACGTGTGTTCTCTATGTGACAGAGGTTGTGCTACTGATGGTGAGTCTGTTCTGTGCTTCTATCGCGATGGAGATGGTTCATGTGAAACTTTTCAGAGATTATATTCTGTGAGGCACCTGACTTTGGTAGCCATAATGGTCCAACAATCCATCAACCAGTGCAGCTTTGTAGTTTACCAAAGTCTTAAAACATTTTGACAGATTTTTGAGCACTGTGTACCACATAAAATCGGTTTATATATGACAAAGCTCTATTCTTATTTTCACTAAATAAAAATTTTGAGCTGTAAATCATTGAACCAATGAACTAAAACACTTCACATATAAACTACAACTTTACAGTGGATGTACTCTAATGTACTGTATGCAATGTTTCATTAATATCATGCTATTATATTATACTCATTAGCAGAAAAAATATGAGTTTTTTTTTTTTTTTTTTTTTGCATCTTAAAATGTATCATTGCATCCCTAGTGGGCAACCCCTCTCTCTGTTTCTCTGCTGGGACTGGGGAAGTCCAACCTTTTGGCTCTGTTTACATCAGTGTGATTCAGTGCCACATACTCTGACACACTTGTGCTGGTGAGAGCAAAACTCATTCACAGAAACACAAACTGTAACTGTCTGCAACATGTAGACAGTTACTTTTCCATTTGATACTAATGTACATGCAGAAGAATGGAAAATGTTGAGAGCCTGTGCAGAAGAAGCAGTTTCATTTGCCCCAGAAAATGTTGAATTGGAGTGATTTTGAGAGAACTAAACATCACACTTTCCACCACTACAGTTCAATGTTGATGTTTCAAACAACTGAAAACCTAATTGAGAAAGTCAATTCTACTGGTGAACTCAACCTGATTCAAAAGCATTGTGCTTTCTGATGTTCCTTTGAGCAAGACAGTAAGCCCATCCTCAGAATGATCTTCATTAAAAGTGCAAAAGTGAACTGTAAAGTACATAATACAATACTGCTAGCAAAAATGGCCTGTGCATGTCCAATTTTACAACGGATAAATAGATTTTGTATTGAAATGTTTAGAATCAGCACACACATTTATTATGAAACATATCTATGCTTTGAGAGAGGCAGGTTCTCCTTACATTTGATCAGTGATCAGGCCCTTCCATTGTAATTTGAGGTCGTAGTGCAGTCTCTATTCATACATGAGTCAACATGAGATGGAAAATAGAAACTGGTCATTATATAGTTCTTTTACAAAGAATGAGCTTCAGGAATCTTCTATTCAGCCCAAATCACAGAGAGTAGTGTCACTGACTGCATTTGCTGCTCATGTTCCTTCACGTAAATTGCAGTATTCATGACAGACTAAATTGCCATGGTGATTTGGCATATATAGCTGTTTTAAAGCATCAGGAACATTGGGTACTTTTGGGATGCTTTGAGGAGGTCAGACGACATGTTTCACTCACAGACCATCAGTGGAACTGATTGAAACGCTGCTGGGTAGTTCTGACTCTGCAGTCAAAATGCTCTTTTGCCCTAGAGCCACAGAATACATATTCATTAGATTTTTGAGCAGGGAGAATCATGTTTAAACTGGTTCTGCTTAGTCTAGAACACAAAGTTAAATAAAGCTCTCTATGGCTCGTTACAGCAGAACATTTTCCATATGCTATGTGCTGCCAGTGTCATCAATCACTGCTTAGGCATCTGGCCAGGTTCCAATGTAATCCTATTAGTATCATCTAAGGAGACAAATAGCTTACTAAGTAAATACTTTTGATCAAAATGAAAGTTTTTCCCCCAAATTACTACTATTGTGAATAATGGTTACCCTCTTTTTCTCATCATCTAAAGTCACTGGTGTATTATTGCACCCCAGTTGTGGTAGGGCAAAGAATTGATATGACAGCACTTTCTAGTACTTTCTGCTCTGACCTTAAAAGTGCTGTGTCCTTGGTCTCCTGTGTAGAGGAGGGACAGCACCAGGCCTATGGCAGAGGGAGCTCTGGTCCCGCCTGGACTCCAGCTCTGTGGTGCGGGGACTCCCTGCATACAGAACAGGCTGACCTGATTGTGAGGACATTTTCCATGTGCTGAATCTACATTCTGAGTCTGCACTGCCTCATGCCGCTGGATCAAGGATATAGAGCAGATGCTTTAACTTATGTGCAGTGTGAAAAGAAAAACAGGAGAAGAATCAAGAAGGTTTTCATTCCCCTTTCTGTTTGAGATCATAGAGTAAATTAGTTATTAGCATATGAATATACACAAGTATTGTTGTCCACAGTTAGTATTAGTAGTATTAGTGGTAGTAAAAGTAGTTTTCAGCGGAGCCCTAGTCATACTGTCCAAAACAGTCAGAGTTTGGGACCATGTTACTGGTTGCTAGATAATAAGTGATATATGCTCACTCTTTACCTTGGTCTTCAACATTCTTGCATACTATTGCTGCAGACAGCACAGCAATGACTTCTCCAGTGCAGCTTTTATTACCAGCTGCTTATACAGTATGTCTCAGTTCATTTCACACACAAAGCGATCAAACAGTTGTTCCATGCATCCCTTCAGTATCCCGCAGTAATGCTTTATACTGGAAGTGTGCCTGCATCTTACTGTAAAAGCCAATGAGGTTACTGCTGACATCATTCACCAGAGGGACCAATACAGTTACATAAGAGCCAGACACAGCCGAGTGCCCCCAGCTCTCCCTCTCTCTCCCCTTCTCCGCTCCATACATAACACTATACTTCCTGAATATTTAAGTCTATATATCTGTAAGCAGCTGTGAAATTATTCAGCAGAATGGCTGCCATCCAGCCTGATGTTCAAGAATTATGGGTCAACAAATCCTCTATATTTGGCCTGTCACTATAACACATTTGGAAGACAATTTTATGCAGCGGATACAAAGATTACGGAATAATAACAAATGTATACCATAGACAAAATATATTGTATCTTAAAATAAATAAATAAATAATAATCCTTTATTATTATCCATCTAAATCTCCAAAGCTCAAAATGCTCTGTTCCACCTTGCAGTGCCATGTAGTGGTAGCTTTTTACCTTTTGTACCTTTTACCTTTTGTTCAGTAGAGATTTGCAATTCCAGGGCTGACTCATCATCAAAATGATTCTAATGAAGGTGTATAGAATTTGAATCCAGAATGGAACATTTCCAGTATTATCATGTGACATTACAAGGTGGAACAGAGCATTTTAAATTTGAGAAAAAAAAACAAAAAACTGCAGGATATGTGTGTTGAACATGTGTGAATGAAACAAAGCGCAAGCACTCCGGGTATGTTTTTGATAAAGAAACAACATTATGAAATAGATTTTTTAAAAATTGTGTAATATGGGCCCTTTAATCCTTTATTTCCATTGAGACTGAGGCAGATAGACCGTGATGTGGCAGTTTGTTTACTTTGTTTGTCAAAGTTGGACGTCCTTCCTGCAGACTTTACACATGCAAAGTTGGAACCGGTTACATGCTGATTGGTGGGAGCAACACTGAATCCACTATGCCACTGTCGCTGCTGGTCACATGCAATGATAACAACAATCTGACATAAGACTGAGCTTGGTGCCTAGTAACACACTGAACTTTGGCAGCTCCACTAACACCAGTATAAACATTAAGAACATTCAAATAAGCCGCAATGTTCCCAATATAGAAAAGTGAGGTCATCTTATATGAAAAGCTACATCAAATTAAGCAGACAAAGAGAGTTAAAACTTGATCTATTCCATCTTGAGTAGTGAAAAACACATTATATAACTACATAGTACAGACCACCTCCATGTATTCCTGGGCCTCTGAAGTTTCTCTAAGTATGTGTGGAGTCCTTGTGGTATAGCCAGAAGGTTTGGCTTTAAAATTAGCCTGAAAAAAACTTTGAAATGAGATGGTCTATTATGCAGAAGATTCAGACGGGAATATCTGAACTTGGAGGAGGAGCAGAGAAGCAGAAAAGCAATTGGGTTACAGCAAGTTTTAAATTCAGAATGTTTCTTTAGGATTAGTAATCTTTTATGGACTCTACTTAACTTATAAAAAGAGTGCAGTGTTTTATTTGTGTTAGAAGTGGAAATACCTGTGGTCTTTGATGTAATGGCCCAGTTCAGTACAATATTATTATTAAGATCAAGATTAGATAAGAAATAGATGAAGCTACCAGCAGCCTTTATAGTTGAAATACAAAGCAGTGAGCAAATTGTTCCAATCCCATAAATATAAAAGATGGACACGATTGGCATGGGCATCTGGCTTAATTCATGACAAATTAACATTCAAATCACATCGTGCAAGGAGATGGATGGTTGGCTGTTGGTGACTGCATTGTACTTTGCATGACATATTAAAAAGGTAAATTCACAAATGTTGAACCTGATCACTTCTATTAGTGAATAGACTCAAGAACTCTCTGTATTACAACATATATATGTATTTGAACAATATTCATTTAAGATGTCACCATCAGTATTAAATATTATTGGTCCATGGTGTGATGTCATCTTGAACCCAACATTAGAATATAACATTGTATCTACTATAGCTATAGCCATGGAATGAGAAAGAGATGCATAAAAAAACAACAACATTGAGATTACAGTTATTTCAAAGATTCAAAGAGATTGCCACTTACATGGTGCCACTTACATGAGCCTACATAATTTCTAGTGATGGATTAACAGTCTAGACAATTTCTGGCCTGCTATTCAACCCCTCTGTACAACCGGCTGAGATGTAAAGCAATAGGGAGCACTGTACAGAGGTTTTATAGGGCAGCGTGTCAGCGGGGAGGATGCAGGTTGTCATGGAGGCTGCTTGAACCCAGGTTAGTCGCTTCCACATGACACTTTCCCTAAAGCCAAACAGCAGCACCCTGCCCACCCACACAGTGCCACAATGGAGCCACTCTAATCCTATCCTTTGAGGCTGCCTCTACTCTCACCACCTTCACTGCTCCACACTCTAAAGCAGACTAATGCCTTTTACACAGAGCTATACTAACACTTTATATGCAGATGTCTGCATAATTTGACTTGTCCTGTCTACAGTCTGCTTCACATCATTCACATTCATACAAGACAAAACAACTAAGTATTCAACACTACTCTCCATAGGGAAAGGATATATAATTCGAATGATCATTTTAAGACTGTACAAAGATGTTGATGAAAAATATTCCATGTGCACTTATACAATATTATACATTTGCAAATCCACAAGAAACGAACAAAGACATTACAAGACTAAATAACACTGAGTGCCACAGCACGGCTCTCTCCACGTGCGCATTAAAACGTTATAATTTTACTATTAGTTTTTCAACTTCAGTTTTTATGGCTATAGGCAAAAGATTTGGGTGATCTGCAGTTTGAATTCTTTATGCCACACGGGCTCTTTTGAACAGATAAATTATCAAAATAAAGCACGAAGAGCACTTTAGGCACACAAAGCCTGCTTACCTGCCAGTCCGATGTCTTTTCTTACTTCTGTAGGGTGCTTTATATTCCTAAATATTCCTGATCTGTCGCGTCTCCCAGACACAAATCTCGACCGCACTTCCATGTGCTCACGACCACGCGCTCCAGGCAGCGCACGGGATTTGGCGCGTGACGTCACGGCAAGGTTGGAAAGTCTGTTCATAAAGGTTACAAATGGTAGCTTATAATGACAATAACCTATCAACGTGAGCCAAGGAATCATTCAAAGTAGCCTTTATAAAAGATCACGGTGGATTTGCGCATAACGCGCTCATTGTGACTTCATCTCTAAGGTACACGCATATGCAGGCAAGCAATCAAACGTGCTGTTTCGACCATGAACTGTGCCTGATGATACGTGAGCAGTACGTGAGTGAGTGTGAAAGAGAGAGCCTGATCATGGAAAAGTCAAGTGTGCGCCAAAGCTGTTCCACTTCATAGACTGCTGCCTCTGCGGAGCTCACTTTCTCTGGTACCAAAACAACTCTCATTGATACCACGTGACTCCTGGATGTCACTCTTATTAATCACAGTAAACTATTTAACCCAGACTCTAGGGCTGGTTCGGCGTGGTTACAGTTAAGGGCAGCCCATTGGTTGATATAGGATGGTAATATTTTGTTATTATGGTCAGGCTGTTCTGTGTCTATGGTAAGACAATAGGAAAAATATTATAATTTTTTATGCCTTTATTTATTGCTGATATTGTCTAATTTGAATATGTGTGGTGAGTTTGAATGGTTTCATTGGAAAGGACACAGACACAAGTCAAGAAAAGCATTTTATATTTGAAAAAAATCTAGAACAAAATGAAAAACCAAACACTTGGTCTGAACATCCAGACAATTGAGATCCAAAAATACATTTTCTTAGGAAATATTTAATTATATACAAAACATAAAAATTTATATTTTAGTTTGGGTCATCAACATAGTAACCCATTTTCATATTTTATTAATAAAAATAAATTTTAAATATTTACTCCACCCATAACTTCAATTGAGGCAGTTTTAACATTGAAATCAAACAAGATTCCAAAACTTAATCTTGCATTTGCATGCAACAATAACTGTACACCCTAAGTCAATAAGTCGTGAACTTGCATAAAAAACTAAACTCAAAAGTCTGTAGTTGAAGGCTCAGGCTCGACAGGCCTGCAGCTGTGCCAGTCTTTGCTTTAGGAGTTCACTTTTCCTCCGCAGCTGCTCTTTGACTGACACCAGTCTCTGTTCGTCTGACTGCATGCTGTAGATGCACTCTGTGGCCTTTTTCAAGATCACCACTTTAGCTGCCTTCTCATTGTTGGCCACTTCGGGGATCTCATCCCTCAGTGCAAAGAAGCTGAGCTTGAGCTCGTTCCTCCTCTGGCGCTCCAGCACATTGTGAGTCCTTCTCTTGTCATAGTCCTCAGTGTCTGATGTCCGTGGACTCAAACACTTGCGGTTGCTGCTGATTTGCTTGAGCACTCTGTGGCTGTGGCCACCACTGTTACCGCTGCTGCCCCCACCACTACCAGGGCTCTCAAGCTTCAGCCTCTTGACGGCAGGCTGCTCGTGCCTCATGGATGGGTGAGCGGCGTAATTATGCTGGTGGGTGGAGACGTGGCACCTCTTGAGCACCAAAGGGCTGGGGTGCCTGCTCTCAGTCTGGCTCACGTCGTAGCGCTTCACCGACTGCCTCTTCTCCACTGTCACCACATCAATCTCCTCCTCTTCCTCCTGATCCTCCTGCTCCTCCTCTTCATCATCATCATCATCATCTGCATCCTCATCTTCTGCAACAGGCAAAAATACATATCATAATTATTTTGTTCAAAAACATGCATGCAAAACTTATTACAGTGGTCCCACTGTCTAACAGTGCAGCATTGCCTGTGGCAAATCTCAATTTGGCAGGGGTGGGACAGTGCAGAGTAGTCCTACATAACGCCTAGCAACCAAGAACCAATCGCATAAGAGAACATTAAACCCATTAATACTAAACATGCCTATCAGACACGTAATGCTGAGAAACCCTGGCAGTGGGAATATCAAAGAAAAGGGGTGTGTCTGTGATGGATCTTACCAGAGTCACTACAACTGCTGCTGCTGCTGCCACTGTTGGGCGGCGTGTCCAGTCCTAAATCCTTACTGGGCGATATGACAGTGTTCTGCTTAGGAATCTCCGCTACGGGGTAGGGAAACACCACTGAGGGGTCAATGCACTCAGACGCCGCGGTGCTCAAGTCCTGGAGGTAGCTGCTATTAAGTCTCCATGGTGCGCCCCCGGAGCTCTCCGCGTTATCCCCGCACGCGGACTCCTTCCTGGCAGCGTGGAGAGAGGCGAGCCTCTCGGACACGACCTTTTCCAGTTTGGCCGCTGCAGAAAATCCACTCCACATACAGTCCTGAATGATTATGGACTTGAGAAAGGTTTGGGAATAGTCCGCGTCGCAAATGATGCTCTGGTTGACCGCGTCATCGCCCAGAAACTCGGTGACCATCTCCAGCTGATCTGCCGTGGAAGGGAACAGACTGGACAGGGACGGCCGCCGGCTAGGGGACAGAGGAGGGGTCGGCAACAGTTCGAATTTCTTCCAGATGTCCTCACTCGGTGCCGGGGGCTGAAGCTGCTGGGGGTAGAAGTCCTCCTCCTCGTTATTGTAGTAGAAATAGGGCTGCATTGAATCATAGTCGTAATCATAGTTTTTACTCGCCAAACTTGGATTCAGCGGCATGGTGCAAGGTCTCTGTCGTCGCTATCCGTGTTGGGAATCTGGTTAAAAAGAAGCGAGTGATTAGTTGTCTGTGCAATGCTTGACAGCGATCATGCCTGCAATATGTCAATGTAAGCAACGTCACATGGCCAGTCCAAAACATCGATCTTGTCTGCACGCCTTGAGTGCACGCACCGCTTGTCTGCAGCAGGTGCTTAAACTACAACTGCAAATATAATACCAAGAATGAATGCCCTTCAGGTCTGCACTAAACGCAAACTGTACATCTGTCTGTCACTGAAGTCTGACTAGAATTCAAAATGCCCACTGTCTAGGCTTACCTTTTGGGTTTAAATCTCACGGTGGAATATAGCAGAAAAGCCACAAAAAACGGTAAAAATAAGTAAAAGAGGGTTAATCCAATGCAAAAGTTGCATTTAATCCGTTGCGTGCAGTTTGTGTGAAGGCGTGGGAAAAGTGCATGCGTTGTAAAGTTGTAGCAGGCTGCAGAGGCGAGCCGGTGGGTCCGACGCGCCGTCTGTCATCAGCAGCGTGAGAATCACAGCTGAGCGCTATGAGCAGCTTCATAAAGGGGATACAGAGCCTCTCGCATGTATCCCTCCGCCTTTTCCCGCGAAACGCTAACCGGCTCTAAAACGCCACATGTCCTTTTAGAAATCTCTCACTTACCATAAAAAATATTAAGAATAAAATAAACACCTTCATTAAAATCCACAATGACCAATTTTGTCGAGTTTCCTCTCGTTAATCGGTGTATACTTGAGATCTAACCGGAACTATTTTCTGAGCAAAAGTGGGCGGGGTCATAGTAGAGTACCATTCACCAGCGAAAAATACTAATGTGGGTAGCAGTAGTGACAGATAGCTAATTATGTTGACTTATTTCTGTAATATCCGGACGAAAATAGAACAAAACAACCTACTATACATCAGCTGTGACTAACTACTGAGTGCATTTCAAATTTGCCCCAAATCAAAACATGTAAGGTTTGCGACGTTAAGTAGCTTGTCAATTTGTCCTAAAGAGCGCGCCCATTTGAACTCAAGGTTATTAGACCAGAGTACACATACACAATGGTGCAAACGGGCACCTGCGACATCTTTGCAGACGTCTTCATTACAAACCTAATAAGTGAAGCTCACAGGTGCTGCGTCTTACCTCGGTGTCCGCAGTTCCTCAAATCATTTAGATTTATCAGACATGCACTTGCAAACTAACTGGGGTATCATTGTTGCATCAGGAATTCCACACGTTTAAACCAGTAATAGGGCTGTCAGATAATTTCTCTGAACCTCAACTTTCGATGTTAAACAGATTGACATCAATTAAGAACAGGAAGGAAGCAATTATAGGTATGATAAGTGCAGGCTGGTGCTGCTAGAACTAAGCTCTAACCCAGCCCTAAACCTGGGGCAGTGGAATGGGTTTTTGTGGACTCGGAGCGCCCTCTGCTGGACAAAAATGTAAAGACTGGAGCGGGGCCAGGTAGGTGCAGGGTCACAGACAGAATGGAGGTCAACAACACCAAATAGTGAACTCTTACAAGTACAGTGGGTAAATTATTTATTTTAGTGTTGGTTTTTTTACACACACACACACACACACACACACACACACACACACACACACACACACACACACACACACACACACACACACACACTATATATATAATTAGATAATCTGAAGTTAGTAGTATGTTAACTGTGGGTTACAATTTTATTAGGTTACTGGGTCACCTCATTAAAAAAAAAAAATCTGAACATCTCAAGAGCATCTAGCAACAATATATGCCTAAAACGATCCTTCAGAATAACAAATGTTTTGTCTATTAGTTCCCCCCTTATATTAAATGATCACAATGTTCTATTTTATCTTGTCCTATAACAAATAAAAATGTCTTTATAGAGCCCCTATTTCACTATTTTCTGATCCATGTTATTATGTTGTTTCCTCATCAGAAACATACCTGGAGTTGTGTTTTGTTTCATTCACACAAGTTTAACACACAAACATATTTAAGATGAGTTCTTCTCTCAAACAGAAAACACTTCTCATTGTGATGTCATGGTAATGCAGGAAGTGCTCAACTGTGTTTTTAAACTCCATACATCTTCACCAGAATCATTTGGGTTATTTCAACCTTGGAATTACAAGGCTCTTCTGAGCAAAAATGAAAAGATAACTTGAACACTATCACAAAGTGGAACAGAGCAATTTGTGCTTTGGAGATAGACTAATAATAAAGGATTACTGAAATGTGTGAATGAAATACAACACAACTGTGGCTTTGTTTTTGATGAAGTAACATTATAACATGGCTTAAAGCTCATAAAAGTCAGTTTTGTATAAATACATTAATTTCCTGAACATAAAAAAATATAGCACGAGAAATGAACTAATATGGTGATATTAATATGCCTATCATATGTTCCAGAGTGATGAAAACCATCATTAACAATTCAAAACAAAATATAAAATCTTTTGGAAGGGAAAAGGTGCACAAACTGGCTGGAGTTTGCCAGTAAAGTGTCTTCTCTGGTTTACAAAAAAGTGAATAAATAAATAAATAAACTAAATTGATAGGTCTAACTTACAGAGCAAGCAGTACTTTAACTGGAATTGGAGTATGTATGTTATCATTGCAAAGCTCCCACCTGAACTGAAAGCCTTATCCGCTCTCTTCTGTGCTCACTTCCTCCTGTAGGATGCTGTTGTGGATGATAGTAATCCTAACCACAGGACTGGTGTTATTGGACCCGGATATGCCCCCATGGACTTCTCTTCCCAACGTCTGGAGCCACGGAGAACGCTTCCTCTGATAGTGAGTAGACTGGAACAGGGAATGTTTGATGAAGATTGAATTTCAACAGTTTTAGTTTTGAAAATTAACAATTAATGAAGAATAACAAATCCACTTGAGTGTGCTTTTAAAGGTGCATTATATGTCTCCTGAATGGTGGATTGTATGCCACCTGCTTGTCTCCATGGAGAGGCCTATATTTCACAGTTTGGCATAAAACTGTGAAACATAGGCATAAAAACATAAATTATATAGTTGAATCAATGCAAAATTGATAAGTTTAATGCCACACTGTGAAACATTCCAGGTGAAGCAATAACATCTCCAATTAAACAAGCCTGTACCTTCCACCAGAAAAGTTATACAGTGGACATATAACATTACATAAAACCATTTTTCAAGAACAAAACTTTTTGGTCTTTCACAGTGTAAACTACTGTATTCTACGATTACTTTATTGGTGATGTACAACTAGGCCCACATTTGATATCACACCTTGTCATAATATGGTACAAACGTTGGGATTTAATTGGTTATCATTTTATGTCTTAATAATAAAAGGAATGGCTTCAAGTCAGAGTCAGAATCCCACCTTAGTTATCCTTCTTGGTATACTTTACGTACATAACATACACAATAGTTAGAATGTCAGAAGTGCAGGGTCCCCAGAGTAAAGACAGTTCAGCATGATGTGTGGAAAAAAGCTGGAAATCGATGAGTGTTGAACCCAGACACTGCCAGTGAAGCACTGAGCGGCAGGATGCTACCCAGCTAATTGTGTCATGAATTATTGATGCTGACAAAAGACATTTATTGACAAAGACTGAAGGAGGAAACTATCCCTAACCACAGTTACATAACACTTTTTGACCTTACTGTGGAGAGGAAGGCTGTGGATATACTTTGGTGCCAATAGCCAAATGTGGGACTAACATACAAGTCTAACTCATCTATCACTGTGGACAAATGCATTTAAGACATAGTCCTCTAAAATTGGACATATTCTGCTAAGTAAACCATATTTGTAGATTAGAGTCAAAGCATCTCTTTAAAAAACAAACAGAAGTGTGTGATTTGTTCTAAGTATACACAAAACAAAAAAGCTGGAGGTGTCTTCACACACACAATAAAATTCAGAAGTACAAACCGTGCTTTTAGCACATTTGGATGAAAGAGTCATTTCTTATAGTCCATATTTTATTGGAGTAGCTGTGTCCATCAAAATGTTGTATGATTGGGGTTGTATATCATAAGAAATTCTAGTATTCTATTAGTGTTCAATGTTATCACAATTTATGGGGGACCCCAACATGTGTCCATGTGTCCTCTCATTAGCCTCCTCATTAATAGATACATTGTCTATTTTAATATAGTAATTATGTGTTAATTGCATAATTTAGTTTGACTCTTTGAGTAATGACTTCATTGCCATATGTAGCCTTAAAACTTTTTTAGACAATGTGTACAATATTTGAAGTTGGCTAAAAGACATTAACACGTTAAATTGAACACTCTTGTTTTTTGTGGCACTGCTGCCCTCTTGTGACCATTTACAACATGACAGGATTACTATACATAAAAGTCAAAACCCTTGATTACTGTGCACATTAATTTTAAAGGATACATAGTATATGAAAGAACATGTGTTTGTATTTGTACCTTCTCCGAGCTATTTCAGTTTTTGAAGAGGGCACAGTGACTAATCACTGGCCACACACCACCATTCTTCAATCTCTACATATATTCATCTTTTTCTTTCCACAAAATGTAATCCTCCATGGTCACAGCCACTTAAAGGATTCTGTATGATGATTACTGATTATTGATCAATGAATTTATTTCAGCCCTACTTTGTTCAGGAGCGGCATATCCAATGAGAGGCCACACATTTGTGTGGTGAGTATGTGCAAGATAAAAATAGTAATGTCAGGCCCTCATACTCCAACACCAATGTGACATTATGAGCTTTCTGGTACTAGTTCAGACTGTCCCGGAGCTCAGTGACACTCTTGTCCAGATCAGGGAGGAGAAACCCCTGAACAAAACAATCAGTGTGGTGTCCTTTTATTCCTTCAAGGTGCAGTGTGTAACTTTTTGACTGGGGGCCCATCACCTGCTTGTTTCTATGGACATGTCATTGCTCTGCCTGGAATATTCCATAGTATGGCATTAGACTGCTCAACTTTACATTTATTATATTACTGGTGGTTTTACAGCTCAAAAATACGTAGAAAAACAGACATTCTGACTGTGGGCAGGATCACCACCAGAAAAGTTACACAATGCACCTTTAAGCACTGGCCTTTCCATAACACTGTTACAAAACAGAAATAGACTTGCTTTACTCTAAGGTATCCCTTCATTATTTTTGTGGTGCATTTTACAGGCATATTTGATTTACAAACTGCTAGGTCGAGTGACCTATGAAAAAACAAGCCTTGGCAAACCGCAAGAGGGCGTATGTGTTGTCTCCATGAGCCTACTCACTCCTGTAACATACTGGTATACGAAAAAGTGAATCTAAGTGATTATTACAGAGTTGTTGTTTTATTAGGCTGTTTTAAATGTGCAGAATAATGTAATTACATTGAATGCTGTGATCAGAAACGTTGTATACAAGTTTATGAAGCGCATGGAGGACTCATAAAGTGTCAGGTTCTCTCATGGATTCACTTATGAACTCTGGAAACATTGGAGGAACTGCTTATATAGGCCATAGACCATTGTTACTGTTTTGTTTGTCTTCTGTTTGTTTTTAAATGTTCTATATGGACCCACTGGAGTCTGAAATCAAGTTTGATAGATTGATTGATTTAAAGAAAGACGCTTGAAAAAATACGCAAGACAATGCCTTGTCAATCATATGGACCTTCTTTTATATGGTTCTCATTAATGGATAAATTAATGTTTGATTACATCCTTTTGTAACTCCAACAAATTTGGGCTGGCCAAGTATGACGTCAGCCATACGCAAGCAGGTGTAGATGCTTCAGCTTCGGGGATCGTCGACAACGGCCGAGCAAAGCCGAGCTCAGCGCAGACAACGCAGGCAGGGAATGTAATCCCCTCACTTCCCTGTTTTGAGATTCTTTCTCAAACGCAGTCTGCTCGTTTACATGGGACAGCTTATGTTTTTGGGTTGATGTCCTTGAGCATCCATCCACACCCATTGGACTATGATTTGCGGCAACGATGCGCCGGTGTGAGATTTCCATTGACCTTCTTTGGAGCCGCTCAGCAGCACCACAACACTGAAGGCTGGCCGCCGCTCCCGGTGCTGTCTTCTCCGGTGACCCCCGCTCCCCTCGGCTAACGCAGGTGCTCTGATTGCCTTTCAATCGGTAATCTTTGAGCTTTCTATCCATCAAGACCGAGGCAGATGCCCGTCGCTCTGTCATCCCGGCATTACTATGGTGGAGTTTCCATCCCTCAGCCCTTACTGGCCTCTCCTCCGCTTCCTGGTGCCTTTGGCTATCACCAATGTAGCCATCGATTTGGGAGAACAGGTATGCTGCTCATTTATTTGTGTCCTCCTTAGGCAGTACACCAGAAATACAACCTCTAATCTAGTGCGTAATACCAGCGGCCAATGTCTGTGCGTCAGCCGCTCGTGCCAACCATCGTTTGTGATCGCGCTGTCGCTGAAGCTTGTCTGACAGCTTTAACGCGTTATATCGCACTCATTATTCAGTTACTATTGAATGTTTGAGGCAGTTGTCTGAGCCGTTTGCGTGTCGAGCGAGGAACGCTGGAAATATGCATCCAGGCGATGGTTGTATTATTTAGAGAAAGGAGGGGAGACTCCTCACCCAGTGTAAGGCCCTTTTAATTTGCGTAAACTCCAACCAGCGCTGTCACCAAAGTCACCCCGGTGTGGAGCTCTGTGTGAGCTCCGTGTGGCGCTCTCACGACACCGTGTGTTTTGTTTTATCACAGCGGATCAAAGCGGTACAGTACGCGCCTACTTCTCCTCTCTCCTGTTTTCGTCTCGTATATTTCCGGTCTGCAATGGCCAGATGACTGATCTTGCGTCTGCTCTCACCCAGGGGACCTTATGGGTGGTGTGACATCGAAAAATACACTGAGGCACGGAGATGTGCGGATTAAGTTTATGCAATGGCTCTGTCCGCTGGTATAAATAGCACACTATCATGCAGAGGGAAACAGTATTAGTAGTAAAGGAAAAACTGAAAGAAGGTGCCATGACTACAGACCAGTGTCCAACCACTGACTGAAGGTCCAACTGTGTACTCAGATGTTATCTAATTGAGTTTCTTTATAACCAGCACGTGATCAGTAAACTGGTCTTGTGAGGCCAAAGTCACTCCAAAATGAACTCTGTCACCCTAATGTCTTTTCCAGGCTCTCAACAGGGGCATAGCCACCGTCAAAGAGGACACAGTAGAGATGCTGGCCAGCTATGGTCTCGCATACTCTCTGATGAAGTTCTTTACTGGGCCCATGAGCGACTTCAAGAATGTGGGGTTGGTGTTTGTTAACAGTAAGAGGGACCGGAGGAAGGCGGTCCTGTGCATGGCAGTGGCTGGAGCGATTGCCTTCATTCTTCATATCTTAATAGGTGTGTGGGAGCTGTAGTTGTCCACATGATGACAAGGTTTTGCTTAAACCACCCTGTACTATAGTTACCTCTGTACATATATTCCAGAGTAAAATAAATCTGCTTAGTGTGCATATGTGGTAATGACTGTGACTGTGTTGCTTCCTGTTTCTATAGCCTATACAGATTTAGGTTACTACATCATTAATAAACTGCATCATGTGGATGAATCAGTGGGACACAAGACAAGAAGAGCCTTCTTATACCTGGCAGCATTCCCTCTGTTGGATGCAATGGTGAGTGGACAGCAGTGCGACCTGTGTAATTATCTAAAACATAGAAGTACTACACTTCCACATGACAGTTAGTAATCTTACTGTAAATGTTATTGTTGTTATTGTAACATTATTGTTTGTATGTAGGCATGGATTCATGCAGGGATCCTTCTCAAGCACAAATACAGTGTGATTGTAGGCTCTGCCTCCATTTCAGATGTGGTGGCCCAGGTAATGTAACTTTCACGATGAAACGCTTGCTTTGGATATGACAAAAACAATGAGATGTTCTTGGTTTGTTCTCTTGGTGTGCAGATTGTGTTCGTGTCCATTCTCCTGCACAGTAACCTGCAATGTGTGGAGCCAATGCTTATCCCCATCCTGTCCTTATACATGGGTGCCTTGGTCCGTTTCACCATTGTTGGTCTGGGCTACTACTGCAACATCCATGATAATATATTAGAATCCAGTGGGCTTGATGTGGGGGTGAGGCCAGACTATTTCAGAATATTTTACATTCTATTTTGTTCATATTTATTTTCTAATGACTATAGTTATAGGAAATGTCACATGTTATGTTTACAGTGGGATGCTTATTCCATTTATGTTATACTTATAGAAGAATGGACTTGTATTTGTTATTATGTGTATTTTTTTGTCATGGGTGTTTTTGCTGCCTGTTTAGCATTTGCCATTCTCTGTTCTATTGCTGTGGTAATTTCTTTTTCTCTTAACCTTCCAGGGAGATGCAACTATTAAGAAGATGCTCAGCTTCTGGTGGCCCCTGGCCCTCATCCTGGCCACTCAGCGCATCAGCAGGCCTATTGTTAACCTATTTGTATCTCGTGACCTCAAAGGGACCACAGATGCTACAGAGGTGAGTGTGACAGTGTAAGTGCTACTCTTGGACATGACTTTACCTTGTTTAATAATTATATAATAAACTTTCTAGTCCATAACATTTCTTTCAGGTTCTATGAAAAGGCCAGATGCTCTCAGGCTCCTCTAGAGCTTTCAGGTTTAGCAGACTATAACTGTTAAAAGACAATACAAAATACAAAGCTTGTTTACCAGAACCAACTGGAAATCAGTCACACAACACTGGCTACTGGTGGTTTAGGTGATTCACACCCTACTGTAAAACTCCGGCCGTGGCACATGGCAAGTGAAAACATGGCTCTGCTGGTGCTTTTCATCTGTAGTGTGGAATCACTCTAAACTGTAGTAAAGGAATAGAGCTGTCTGAGGTGCACAAACAGTGCTGCTATAAGTGTGTGTGTGCTCCATGTGCCGTGTTTTCTAACATGATATGATGACTTCTGTTTGCCCTCTTTGTCATTGCAGGCTGTGGCCGTGCTCACCGCCACATACCCAGTGGGTCACATGCCTTATGGTTGGCTGACTGAACTCAGAGCAGTATACCCTGCTTTTGACAAGGTAAACCTCTCCCTATGTAAGATGTTTCTTACAGTGATCCTAAATTTTAATCTCTTAATTTTCCTCTTTACAGAATAATCCAAGCAACAAGCTCAATGCTGGGAGTCCTGTAACAAAAACACACATCAAACGGTTTACATTCTGCTGCCTGGCCCTGTCCTTAACAGTAAGAATCTGAGATAACTGTTGTCTTGTTGGTCAGCACTCACTCTCCAACTGACAGTTGGTTTGCTGTAATGCAAAGACTGAATTTCAGTTGTCTTGCATAACAGGTGGAAAAAACATGATTGGCAACATTCCCTGGCTACATACAAACTACTATGGAGGCACTGTTGGTGTACTTTGTGTACTTTCTTTGCCATCCTTTGGAGGTTTCAGGTTGCAGGGACACACACTAGGGTGGGATTTGTGAAGAGGCTAAGGGGGCTGTGTCCCCACCCCTAACAGTCCCCCTCCCAACTTAAGACCTTAATAAAATAGGCATTCACGTCAAACATATCGCTAACACATTCCTAAAGCCCCTTGCAGGTTGTTTTACAGGTACTTTGCTGCAGCCCTAGCGTTTGTGGCACTGTGCACTATTCTATAGACTTGTGTTTTCAGTTGTTCAGGCATCACACAGGTATTATTTGGTACACAACACAAACCTTTAGATTAGCATAACAGGAAGAGGCTATGGCTGGAGGCGGGATGGTATTGAGAGCAAGTTATAAACATGTATGCGAAGAGGGCGTGCACTGCCCTCAAAGGTACTGTGTTCCAAACGCACTGAAAGTTGTCATGTCAGGACTTGTTCTGATTACTCTTCAGGAAAAACAATGTTTTTTCCCCTCTCAGGTTTATATGGTTTATATTAGAAAAGCACTTTGGACAGAGATTTTCGCATTGTCTGTGGACCATGTGCTAACATAATACTTATTTTAAATAGCATTTCATTATTCATTAAATTAAGGTGCAATAATTATTGGAGCAACCCCATTGAATCAGGTCTGTAATATTTAGAAAAATCATTGTGCTTATTATTTGTCAAAGCAGTATTTGTTTTCACATATTGTGTGCTTTCATGCTTTCATTCACAAATCCAACTGGCTGAATGTTTTAGCTGTACTGGTCTGTTATAGTAAATGGGTTGGGTTCAGTCCTGGCGCATGTGCCAGTGCTACAGTCTTTAGGAACAATAGCATTGTCCATCATGTGTTTGTGTGATGGTTTCATCTGGACTTCAAAGGGCCACGTTCAATCCCAAAGCCCTTGTGATAATGACCCAGCACAGGCTGATGAGACGCTAGAATGGCACCTTCAATGTGAATCTAATTAGCTGTGCTCTTTTGTGCGCAGCTTTGTTTCATGGTGTTTTGGAGTCCTCATGTATCAGAGAAGATCCTGGTGGATGTCATTGGAGTGGAGTATGCTTTTGCGGAGCTTTGTGTGGTCCCGCTCCGAATATTCTCCTTTTTTCCTCTGCCAGGTACATAGCACAATGATTGTGGCCTGTTTCCTGTGCAGCTGGATTTCCTTTCTCACTGTAGCACTAACTCATGTATCTATATTTGCTCTGCTTGTGTGTGGCAGTGACTGTTCGGGCCCATCTGACTGGGTGGCTGATGACCCTGAAAAAGACCTTTGTGCTGGCTCCCAGCTCGGTTCTGCGCATCATCGTCCTCATCACTAGTCTTGTGGTGCTGCCTTATATGGGGTAAGCTAACGACAGAGGCCAGGTCACAAAGCTATCATATGACACCAGTACATGTATTATTTATCAAAGGGCTGTGTCATTCAAACACACATTTTAACCCTGAAATGAAAAATGGAAAACTGCACAATTAATAAAACTAACCTGTTTATAGGGTTCATGGAGCTACGCTTGGAGTTGGGTCTCTACTTGCCGGATTCATTGGAGAGTCAACTATGGTTGCCATAGCAGCCATCTATGTTTATAGAAAGCAGGTAAGAAACCACCTGAGCTAGTAATTGAAAGCCAGAGCACAGCAGATTACCAGTGATGGGTTCGGCATCTCGTATGCTCATGTTTGGTGTGTAACAAAAGTGCCCACTGTCTAGGATGGGTTTTCTCCTATGCCAAACCACACTGCTATGGAGCATATTTATGGAGTGTGCAGAAAGGCCTATGGCAGTCAAGCACACCAAAGAGTCTAGAACTTGCTCATACAGGGAAAGTCTCAGTTCCATTTCCTCACCTCATTTCAGTTCATCCAGTTCCTCAGCTGTTAGTCAACTGTGCCATATCAAGTGTCTCAAAGTGCATTCACCGCACAGAGGAAGCAAAGGAAGGAAAGCACAGAGGAAAAGTAAGCAAGGGTTCAGGAAGCAGACATCAAAAAAGATATAAAAAATGTCATTTGTCTTCTCAGAAAATTGTATAATTGCACCTTGCTAGTACAAGAACCGTAGCAAGATATATATTAATTAGTAAATTTAAATCAAATTTTATAAAGCAATGAAATCTGAAAATAAAGATTGTTTCCTTTCTGAGTTTCCTTTTGCAAGTTCCTCGCTGATTTCCTGTGGAGCAATCAAGGAGGTGAGGAAAAAGAGCTGAGACAAAGATTTTGCATCCCATAGTTTGGGATTTATGGTCTAAAAAGTTGGGGAAATAGGTTCTATTTCATACTGACTGTGCCTCCTAAAGTCAAATATTAATAATAGTGTGTGATCTCTGGTTCCAGAAAAGTGAGACACCCAATGAGCTGGTGGCGGAGGGAGAAGACGCTGCCCCCATGAGTGAAGTGTGCTCCAGGAATCAGATGGATGCCATTGAGGAGGTCCAAGAGGAGGAGGAGCAGGAGTGACTCAAAAGAAACTGGTCTTATCATGTGGACCAACACATGTGAACGCACAGTGTATAGAAGCCATGCACCTCATCTCCACTCATCTGTGTACATACCGAGACTTCCTCGCTACAGAGTGTTCATCCTCTGAATGTGTTTACTACAAACAAGGGAGCAAGAAGGATAGCAGCAGTGGTGGAAATGCCAAAAGTTATTGTTTTCTATCAGGACTACGAGGCTCTGCCTCACTTTGTTTTTGGGTTGTGCAATTGTTATTTACATACAATGGTGTATAGATTGTTTTTTTTAGGTAATGCAATATTGCATTGAGGGATCAGGAATCTCTCATTTTACCACGTGCGCTAGAAAGTCTGGTCATGTGTTAAATGCAGTCTGGGGTCGATTGTTTCGCCAAAAGATATTTTCCTGGCTGTCTTCATATTTTCTGTATATACTGTAAAGGCAATTCTTTTATGGCAAACATAGCTTTAATATTGACTTGTGTAGGGATCTTAATCATAAAAGACTTCAACAAAATGCTTGTTTATTTTTTAATGCCATCCAAATCAGCACTGCAGAACAGTCCTGCAAATTGCATTATATGGGTGGTCTCACTGTCACTTAAGGAAATGGTCTCATCGCACTTGACCAACATTCATTCTTATTGTGCATTATTTCTAAGGCAACATGGAGGACCAAGCAAGCCTTTACAGAGTCCAGGGCTGGTGGTTGGGACTGTTGCCAGTCTTCATAGCAACATTGGCACATTAGTTCTTTCAGAACAGCTTGGTTAAAGGCAACACGTTACACATAGAGTCTGACACACACTTTTGCATACTCGCATAACATACAGTCTCCTTCACACTTGTGTGACCTGTTATAACCTGATCAATTCATTCTTTCTAGAGTCAAACAAACTGCTTCATTTAAATGAATTTCCTTCACAAATTAATTATTCACAAGGTCAGGATCAAGGTGCCCAAATTCCAGTGTAAACCCCAGGGCATCATTCCATATTGTTGGCAGCTCTCCCATGTTGACATAAAGCCATTTACAAAAACCTTGTACGTTAAACATGATAGATAATTCCTGCTTCAACTTGTTTCCACCCGCAGCAGACCCATGTAATACAACAAAGATGATGCTCCTGGAAATGCTTTAACCCGAACCTCCTTACAGTACAGTAGAGTGCATGTAAAGCGCAGGGCCAGAGTTCTCATGCTATGTGGATGGACCTGAGGAGAGTGTGTATGGCAGCAGTGGCATCAGCTGCACTGGGGCTCCATGGGCACGGGCACATTGTAATGGCGGTCGTCCTCAGTGACCAGGCACACGTAGGGCCATGTGTCTTTGTGGTCATCTGGGTAGAAGGTGATAAACTCCTCTGTGTCGGCCTTGTACAGTCTGTAAACTTGAATGGTGCACTGTAAGGCATAGCCCAGTAGGAACATCTCCACCTTCAGAAGCAAGCACACAAACAGGAGAATTACAGGTTAGCACAAGTGTCCATAACAGCACTTTTCTACCTGTGTTTAATGAACTGCACAGGCACATTATACTCACAGACACGCCACCTTAATAATAATAGCAATGGAGATAAAAATCATACACGCCCTTTGTGTCTCTACCCCCAGGGCTGATGAGGCAATCCCCAGAATCAGCACACAAGCACAGGTACTGTCATGTCTTGGGATTGACCTGACCCAATAACATTATGAACTGATGTTAGTGAACAAATGAGTCAATAAGAAGGACAAATCATTGTTTGAGCAGCAGTTTCTCATGTTAGAATTCCCAAAAAACCCAAGTGCTCTGTTTAATCAGTTGGTCTAGTTTCGACTGGACTAGTAAATCAAACAGACGTTTACGCCTTGTGCCAGCACTTTCATCTCGCAATGTAGACACTGGAATTATATGGTTTTTGGAGTTCTCAAATAACTGAAATATCATGTAAAACTCTTTGTACTTTCAAGAGTTGCACTAAAAAAACATTAACATAACTGACACATGTCACCTGGTGTTTCTGAGGATCAGATTTCTATCATGTAGGTAAACACACACCAAAAATCTGATCAGAATATAAAGTTATCTGATTACTCTAGTTATATGATTTTTGCTTGTCTTTTTAACGTACCCACAGTTAAATGTTAACAGATAAACAAAGCTTGGTGCCATTTTGAATGCAATCCATTTGAAGGATTTCTAACCCACTTTAGCAGCAAATGCCCCATCTGGTCAGGACTAAATCTTAAGAGTAGAGCAAGTATGCACAATATATATTGCAATGGGAACGAGACTGCAATTTGAGTTGACACAGTCATCCAATGGCTGCAATTATTTAGATATTTATTTTGAAAAAACTTGTACCTTTTTAAAGCCTCCAAACATGTTCTGAAATTGATGGGATTTCTTGTTTTAGTTTATCAGTTCATATTTCAGTCTTCTCTCAAATTGTAATGGTCCTGGAGTTGTTTTCTATGTGTATTCTGAATTAAATCTTACTTTAACATATATCACAAAAAACTGTAATCAGCGTATCACAATTATTTATTTATTTATTTTTACTGTGCAGCTCACTTACACGTTCAGTCTATGGTTGTGTCTCACCTGCTCCATCCCTGCACTGAGGCCCACGTGGCTGAGGTGGTTGACGAGGAAAGAGCGGGGGCAGTCGGATGAGTCCCGGGCGAACAAGAGCCAGCAGAAGAGCGGTGTGTCTTCTCCCTTCTGTATGGCCCCGTGCAGCTCCACAGCACGGGCCAGCATCAGCAGCTTCAGGGCTTCCAGCAGCCCCAGCTCCTCCTCTCCGCCCTGGAACCACTGCTCACATAGCTGCTGCCGATCGCCTGGAGATGCACAGTCCACAGCTGCCTGCCACTACGACAAAACAACAAATTCAACATCACTAAACTAGAACAAATATCATAGCGTACAGGCCCAAACATGTCTTTTATTTTTCTGGCTGTTTTTTTACCCCATGCAGTTGAATGTCCCAGCTAATCTGCACAGTTACAGGCAGTGGTCATTTTAATACGTATTGGCTTTTCCAGATGTCATTGGGATCTTTGACATTCAATTCACAAGAGAAAAATCTGTTTAAATTGTACTAGGCCAAACTAAGAATGAAAATTTGCTGGATCATTTTTATCAGTTTCATGATGTTGGTTAAGCATATAAACTGGACTCAGACTTGTAAATAGATGTAACAAGACTATATACATATTAATTTTGGCCTAGAAAGTCTCTTTTTTTAAAAACTTTTATTCAAAAAAGCTGTTGAGTAGTTATTTAAAGTATAAATAACAGTTACATTTACAATTGAATCTCTTGTGTAATTGTGCATTTTTTTTGTCCCTACACTGATATGAGTTAATATTAGACTTAGAGTTATAGATTCAACATCGGTATCAGAATTGAAAAAGCTAGATCAATGCATCCCTAATGTAAATGTAGTGACTGATACAAAGAAACAGCAAACAGCTATACTCTACTCTACCATGTGATGTGTACATAACATACCTCTAATTGGCATCTTAAAGCAGTGTTTACAGGCATTAGGCTATAATGAGAGGAGTAGTGTAATTTAACTGATGCATGTGACTCTCATCTACAAAAGTCAAAACCACAAGGACAGGGCAAAATACTACTACAGGCATAGCACTTATTACGTAAACTTACATTTTCTAGACTAAATGTATGGTTGAAATGATGATGCACTGAGAAGCACATACATAGCTGCTCTTTATCTTTTTAAGTCATTTATAGATGAAGTCAGCAGATTTGTAACCTTATTTCCAACTGGTTTGTGGAGATATGATGTGGAGATGTGGAGGGTAGTTCAAACAGGACATACAAGATAACAGACTTTTTCCATTTCTTGTTTATTTTGCAGAAGTACAAAACCACTAAACTAAATAAATAATAGTGATTGCGCTAAAAATACACCAACTTTCTCAACTGTGTGTCATAGATTTCAAAATGGCAAACTATATCACTGTCTGCAGGCTACAGTGTCAAGAATGTCACGTCTTGAGAAAAAAAC